CCTCATTTTTCTATCAGTCAGAAAATTTTTCATCCATGATAGAAGCTTACCTGTCACCCCTCCAATATTTTCCAGTTTCCAGAACAACCTCTTATGTGGAACTCTGTCGAAAGCCTTTTTTAGGTCCAGATAGATGCAGTCAACCCAACCATCTCTTTCCTGTAATATCTCTGTGGCTCGATCATAGAAACTGAGTAAATTCGATACACAGGATCTTCCAGATCGAAAACCATACTGTCTGTCTGATATTATATCATTTCTCTCTAGGTGTTCTACCCATTTAGTTTTGATTAGTTTTTCCAATACTTTCACTATTACACTTGTCAATGATACAGGTCTATAATTGAGGGGGTCTTCCCTGCTGCCACTTTTGTAGATTGGAACTATGTTAGCCTGTTTCCACCCGTCTGCTACGATTCCTGTACACAGGGATGCCTGAAAGATCAGGTGAAGTGGAATGCTGAGCTCAGATGCACATTCTCTCAGAACCCATGGTGAAACGCCATCTGGGCCAGCTGCTTTGTTCTTACCGAGCTCCTTGAGCATTTTTTCCACTTCGTCTCTAGACACCTCTATGTGTTCTATGTTGTTCTCTGGAATTCTTATTGTATCTGGTTCCCTAAAGATTTCATTTTGTACAAACACACTTTGGAACTTTTCGTTTAGTGTTTCACACATTTCCTTTTCATCTTCCGTGAATCTATTTCCCATTTTCAACCTCTGAATATTATCCTTTACCTGCAATTTGTTGTTTATGAATTTATAGAATAGACCTGGTTCTGTTTTACATTTGTCCGCAATCCCTTTTTCAAAATTTCTTTCTGCCTCTCTCCTCACTGCCGTGTAGTTGTTTCTCGCATCTTTGTATCGCTGGTATGTTTGGGGGTTCGGCCTCTTCCTGTATTGATTCCATTTTTGTGTCTTTCGGTCTCTAGCCCTCTCGCAATTTCTATTGAACCAATCCTGTTTCCTAGTTCTGCATCTCTGTTTTGGTATAAATTTTTTTGTGCCTTTATCATATATTTCACAAAACTTGCCATACATCTCATTCACTTCCTTGCCTAGCATCAAGTCTGTCCAATTATACTCACTAAAAAAATTTCTAAGGTCACCATAATGTCCTCTCCTGAAGTCTGGTTTTTCAACTGCTTCAACCTCCTTATTTTCTTCCAGCTTATAACGCATTGCATACTTTATTCCCAAAAAGACATGGTCACTTTTACCCAAGGGAGGAAGGTACTGAATGTCAAATATCTCTTCCTCCTTCCTGGTAAATATCAAATCTAGCATGGAGGGAACGTCCCCTTCCCTCATCCTCGTAGCTTGTTTAACATGTTGATACAAGAATGTTTCCAGGATGAGGTCTACAAATTTACAGGTCCAAAAATCTTCTGTTTTAGCTTCATATGCTTCCCAGTCTATGGATTTCAAGTTGAAGTCACCGACTATCAACAGTCGTGATCTATCGTTATCCGCTCTCGCTATAATCTCTCTCATTATTGTTATAAGACCTTCACGTTTACTATCTAGCTCCTCCTTTGACCATGTGCTGCTTGGCGGTGGACTATATGCATTTATCATCATTAGTTTATCATCCTCATAGCAGATCTCTAGTGCTATTATGTCAACTTCTTGTGGATTGGCAGTCATTATTTCCTTCACCTTTAGGTGTTCTTTTACCAGCACAGCAACGCCACCGCCTTTCCTAATTTTTCTGTCCCGTCTCCAAATTGAGTAGCCCCTTGGGAATATGACCTCATTTAAAATTACATCTTCAAGTTTTGTCTCCGTGAGTGCAACAATGTCTGGTGTCTGCAGCTGTATTACATCACTTAACTCCAGTATCTTCGATCTCACTCCATCTATGTTGGTGTATGCAATCTTCAGGAACTTGTTCCCCCTCTCCTTATTCTTCACTCCCCCTCTCTCTATTGATTTTGTTGGTTTGCCTTTATGTACCACTTTACTGGTTTGCCTACCCCTATCACTTTGTAGAAAAAAGAATTTATTTCTTCTTCATTCCTGCTCTCATTTAAATGTTTTGCCTCGGCGAGGTTCAGTTTCAGCTTCTCTCTATCTTCTTTTGAAAGATCTCGTCTTAACGACCACCCTTTCCCATCCTCATCCCTTTGCAATTTTCTAGCATTCCTTAGTACTTCTTCCATCTGTTTGGCACCGTTTAGGGTGATCCTCAAAGGTCGATCTTTCCCTTTTACGTACCTGCCTATTCTCCTGTAGTCGCACACATTCTCTCTGTTTGTAAGACCTTCCACGAGGCCAACAATTTTATCTACTACTTTAGCTTCTTCTACAGCTCTTTCTGACCTAGATGTTATCGCCTTTTCTTTGCAGCCAAAAATGATCAGGGACTTACTCCGATCAACTGTGTTTTGCACCAACTTCGGGTTAGATGCCAATTCTTTCCTCACTTCTAGCCTAATGTTTGTTTTATCTTGGTTGCTGCAGTGTTTGACTTCCTTTACTGCTTCTTCTATTTTTTCCTTCTCCTTGGCCACTTGTGCATAAGTGAGTTGCATATCTTTCTTGCACTGTTCTATTCCCTGTGTAACTTCCTCCATCTGTGCTGACAAAAGCTGTTTCTCCTGTTGAATTTCCTTGCCTAACCTATTGTAGTCATTTATGTTTAAATTTACTTTAACTTCTTCCAAAGCTATTTTTAAGAGTTTATTTTCTTCTTCCATGGCTTTGCAATTTGTTTCCAATTGATTCTTATCCTTGCGCAAGTCTTTCACTAAACCCTCAAGACATAAAACTTTGCTATTCAAATGGTCATTACTTTCTTTCAATTTACTAATTATTTCTACATGAGAGTTCACTATAGTATCTAAATTTACCAACTTGTTATGTAGACTACTAATATCAATGCTTTCTTCATTGAATCCCTCAAAATCAAGCTCTGTTTTGTTTTTCCCCTTGCCAGTGGCCATCTTGAATGTTCTTCTCTGCACTGTAAACACTAGGGCAACTTTTTCTCATCCGATTTTTCACTTCCCTTAGCACTTTCCTGTTATCTCACCTATTTTTCAAGAGCACTATACCTTTATGTTCTCTGGGACACCACTCACTACCATCAACCTGTACTACAATACTTAGGATTGTTGAAATATGCTGGAGCTCCTCTGCTGCAAGTGTTGACCCTAGGGGTGTCACCTTTTGAATGTCATGTAAATGTCATGAAATGTGTGTAGGGAGAGTGGTGTTGTTAATTTAGGTGTATGTGCTCAGCTGTATGTCACATGGGAAGATTATCCACATTTATTTTGTATATCCATTTGTAAACCCAGACCCTTTGTAGTGACCTAAGAGGAGTGGAATAGAGTAATGACCTTAAGTCCCAGGTTGTAGAGGGAGAAGGAACCTCCCCTCCCCCTTTTTGTTTGTATCAATCCTGTGGTGGATCCAAGTACACCCCCCATCCCTGTTCTAAGAAGCGTGAGGAAATCTGGTATTTGTTAAATAAAATCATTTTTGTAAAATTGTACCCCAAGGTGTATTTCTTGTCCCATGTAATTAGAACTGGTGATTATTACTATATAACCCCTGCACTTCCACTATTTATAAGAAAGTAAGAGCGGGTGTTAGTGATACTTTAAGGTACGGCTTTCAATCTCGTTCCTTACACCAGGTCTCAAATCTATATAGTAAAATAATAACATACGATATAGACAAAAATGTAGAATAGAACCAGTGAAGAGCAGGGCTGCCATAGGCACAATCAAAGAACACTCTTTGAACATCAGAGGTCCGCGGTTGTTCAAAATACTCCTAGCGAGTACAGTACTGTATATGAAATATTGCCGGAACAAACGTGGAAATCTTCAAGAGAAAACTAGATAGTTTTCTTCAAGAAGTGCTGGACCAAGCAGGCTGTGGTGGATATGTGGGCCTGTGGGCCGCTCCAAGCAATAGCCCGTTGAACAAAGCTGCTACAAGTCACAGGGGCCAGGCTTGGGGTGTAGAAGAAATCCCAGAACCCCATCCAGGTACAACTCGCCAAATACATGACAAAACTACGACATTGCTACAACATTTGAACAACTTGTAACAAACACCTTCTAACAAGTTGTAACAGCTTTCTAACACGCCATAAAAACTTTATGTAACAGCTTTGTAAAAGTTGTAATAAAGTAACAATAGGGACGGTTACATTGTGTGTTTGCATGGAATCCAGGTATACATACTGTATGCAAGGGAATTCTCCTAAAACATGGAGACACGTTAGCTTCTCTTTTTGAGGTTATCTTGAGAGGATTTCAGCGCTTAGCATCACCGTGGCCCGGTCCTTGACCAGGCCTCCTTTTTGTTACACACCCCCAGGAAGCAGCCCATAGCAGCTGTCTAACTCCTAGGTACCTATTTACTGCTAGGTGAACAGGAGCATCAGGGCAAAAGAAATTCTGCCCATTTGTTTACACCTCCGCCGGGATCGAACCTGGAACGTTAGGACTACGAATCCCGAACGCTGTCCACTCAACCGTCAGACCTCCCCTCATAACTACATTCTCAACCTTTTCTATGACAAATTATGGCTTAATTACAAACCATTTGACATATTTCTGCCAATACAACCAGAGTACTTGTTTGCAACTTGCTTTGGGTACCACACAGCAATACTTGTGAGTGCATCAACATACTGTATATGAAAGACAACTGTCTCCTACCCATACATTTATAACACATAATGTCCCACACAGATGCTAACCATAACAGCTCTGTCACAAATCCAGGTAGAAGCAGTGAATTCTCAGGTTGCAATGCTTATTGATGCAATGGCAACATTTGACCTGTCTTTGTCTAGAACCTCAGCTCAGGTCATGCATTAATTTCTCTTGGGAATTTGTTTGCTGTTTCACACCATTTTGAACTTCAATTTTATTGACTTAATTTGATACTCAGTTTCAGATCAAAATTGGGTAGGATTTTTTCTTGTAATTTTGTCTAATTTCCCATCGTTTGTTAATGAAATTTGAATTTTACAGAGCGGCAGTTACTGAAATCCACAAACAGAAGATCAAATTCAAGAAAAATTATTGCTTCACAGGGGAGTCCTGCTGGAACAATACTAACTGATATTGTTAAGGTATAACACTTTATGGTAATACTTCCCATGGGATTTATTCTTGTAGACTAACTAGGGTCTTATGTTTATTAGGAAGCTTTTCAATAGTCACCTTACTAATCTTCCTGTCTTACATGTTTCATTAGCTTTACAGTTTCTACAAGCTTACTACTTTATTTCAAGTGTTCATTACAGTACTGTATTTTTATGAAATTTTCTATTTAACCACCTAATTAAATGTTGTTTTCTTAGGAAGTTTGTCATCATTTGTGTTCTCTACAGTTGTGATTTTTTATATTTTAGGAAGTGTTTGGTGTGTTTAGGTGAGATATTCAACAGTTGGATAAATTGTATTTGTTTATACTTTCATGACAGTAAAAAAAACATTTATTGATTTTTTGTGCCAGTTAACCCTTGTGTTGCTAAGGGCTATTTGGCCATTGTCACCCACAGGCACATAACAACAACAACAACAACAACAACAACAAAATTTTCATCTAAACCTATTAATTTGTGTTCTCTGATCATGGGAAAAATAATAAAAACATCGTAAGTGGCATATTTTACCCACTATAGGGCGGGGAAGTCTGGCAAAAACAGGCGCTGACTCATCATGCATCCCAGACGGTCTGCTCCACCCCAGCTGTCAGGCAGGAGTGGCCACAAAGAGATAATTACCTAATTATTTCAATGTCTCTGATTTATTTTTCTTCGTTTTTTGCTGTAATATTATTCAATAGTGTGTAGTGTGATCTATTTATATAATAAAATGTGTGAATCATCGCTGTACTCAAAATTATGGTGTGCATATTGTTAATTCAATTATTGTGTTCATCAAACAGTGAACAAATACTTTGTCGGCTATTACACTATATACACACATTATATATAAGTATCTGCATGTTTTGTTCACCATAACGAACCACTAAGTTGGTATTATGAGTCAAAAAGCAACGAGGAGTGACCACAACATACCAGCCAGCCACTCGCTGCCACTCACTCCCTCAACACCTCACTCGCCCACATTCTCCTCCCACCATACTGTTTTTGCTTTTATTCACTATATACAGATGTTATATATAAGTATCTACATACTGTATTTTGTTCACCACAACTGTACAACTAAGCTGAAATAGTTAGTTTAGGTACTAAGAGACTTCGCTACACACAGTCAGCTGGTGGCTGCCTCCCTGACAAATTCAAGGTCAGATGCACTAAAATTTCTCCCCCCAACAATACTGTTTGTGGTGTTATTACACTATATACAGACGTTATATATAAGTATCTACATGTTTTGTTCACCACAACTCTACAACTAAGCTGATATAGTTAGTTCAGGCACTAAGAGACATCATTACACACAGTCAGCTGGCAGCTGTCTCCCACACACATTCAGGGTCAGACGCAATCAAATTTCTCCCCCAACAATACTATTTGTGGTGTTATTACCCTATATACACACATTATATATAAGTATTTACATGTTTTGTTCACCATAACTGTTCAACTAAGCCGGTATAGTGCCCAAAGAGCATTGTGGCCACCCCTACCCAGCATGATAAATCATGCAGATGTCACACCTCCCTCACCAAAATGGCTTCTCCCCACACTCTTTTTGCTGTTATTATACTATATATACATGTTATATATAAGTATCTCCATTTGTGTTCACCATAACGAACCATTGGTGTACTGAGTGGCAGTGGCAGGAAGTGGCAGCCCGCCACTGGCTGTCACTTGCTCCCTCCGTCACCTCACCTTACTCGCCACCATTCTCCTCCCACTATACTGTTTTTGCTTTTATTCACTATATACAGATGTTATATATATATAAGTATCTGCATGTTTTGTTCACCACAGCGAACAACTAAGCTGGTATAGTGAGTCCAGACAATAAAAGGTAGTCACACAGAGTCAACAGATAACGCTACCTCCCTCCCCACCAAGATTGCTCCTCCCACTAATTATCTTTGTTGTGCTAATTATCACAACAATCCTGCTATTATCAGAATCCTGGTCATTTTTATCACAGTCAGGGGTCTTCTGTAATACTATCATCGCTAAATAATAACATGTACATATATATTATGGCATTTTTAGGCGATGCTGTGGTCACAAGCTGGTCAGCAGTGCTGTGAGCTCATGCTACGTTTGTCAGCCTTGGTGGCTCACTCACTACTCAGGCCCTCAAACCCGGGAATGTGGCCCATGATTTTTTTTTAAATGGCATCTTTTTACAAGAGCCCTGATGAAGGTGAGGTGAACCCCATGTATCTGCGGGCCATTTAAATCTTGTGTAGTACTCCATCATGTTAGCGCAATTTATTGCAAGTTACTCAACCCTGCATATGACGTGTTGCGCAGTTTAAGGGCTAAAGACATTATTTTCTGGGGGGAGCCTTGTTGGCTCCTCGGAGCTTATCCAGGCTGATATGCTAATGTCAAACTTTGGCATCAGTCATGTGTATGGAGTTCTGTGGGCCTACCGGGGAGCACAAGCCAGAACCTGGCCCCCCCTCAGAGAGGCATGGGGAGTAATGGCCTATAGAAACTCCTGTGTCGTTGGAAGCATTCTATGTCTGCCATCGACTTGGTCAGGCACCCAGAAAGGTAAGTGTCCCAAAACAAACTCCTATTCTGGTGAAAATTGTTACCAAAAGCCGAACAAGTGGATAGAACTCCCCAAAAAGGAACAAGCAAACGAGCATGACGTCACATGTCGCCACACCGCTGTCTGCGCAACTACCCCCCTCCCCTGGGAGGGGGAAGGGGAAGCCCCAGACCTTGCACTAGCTATCCACTCTTCAGTTCTAAGGCTGATGCTAGAGGTAGAGGTCATGTGCTCTGGCTCCAGTGATTTTCAGCACTGTGCTTAGAGTGTGGTGGCTGTCTTCCAGGGGTGCGAGAGCCAGGAGTTATTCTACAGTACTCGGGCTGCATGCGCCTAGGGTTCCCTTCCCTAGGTGCCCTGTAAATGCTGCCCTGTAAATGCTGCCCTTGGGGCTTGGGGTTACCTTCCATAAGTTCCTTGGGTCCTGCCTCTGCTCTGCTGTTTCACTGCTCGGTTTTTTGGCCACCCTTTGGGTGCTTGGGAGTTTTGTCTCCCTTGTTTACCTTAGGGTAAGAGGCAGTTTGCACTGGTACGGGGTGCAGGGTGCTGCGCAGCTTGTTTTCACCATTCATAGTGGCTGACTCTGTTCCTTTGGGTACGTTGTCCTCTTGCAGTTTTTTTTTTTGTGCCTTGTGGGGGAAGGGGGGGTCTGCCTTGCTTGCCCCTTGGTATCTGACCTAATACAATTTTCTTCTGGTGGTGCCCCGTGCTAGGTCCCTGTGAGTGTTCACATCCCGGGGTTCAGTTTTTAGAAGGTTTGATAGACTTAGGTGCTGGTTAGCAGTACCCTGCCTTGGCTTCCCTGAGCGTGAGTTCTGTCTCAGGACCCAGGAATCCCCATGGGGGCGGGTGGGTCCGATGGATGTGACCCCTGAGTCCTCCCTCGCTTTGTGCGAGTTCGAGGGTTGCTCTGTCCCTTTGTCTCAGGATGACTCTCACTGTTTTTGCCTCCGTCTGCTGTCTGTGGGGTCGGTGGCATCTTCGACCCGGAGTCCTGCGAGTTTTGTTGCTTGTTTGTGACTTGGCACTAGGTTGTTTGCTACCCGGAAGCCTCGAGGCTGCCCCATTTTTAGTTGTTGTGATGGGGCTTGGGGGTGTTGGCTGCTTCAGTTTCGTTCCTTCCTCATTCCCCCTTGTCTTTCCCCCTGTTGTGGTTTGGTCTGGTGTCCCCCCCCCCCTTTCCTCCCTGCATCCAGATCCTTTCCGTCTGTGGGTTCGGGGTCGAGGCGGGGATTCAGTGGTCTTGAGACTTGGGTGGTCTACCCTTCAGGGGTAGCAACGGAGGCATTCGAGCCTGTTCCTCCAGCCGGCTTGCATGAGTCTGCCAGTGGGCTCCCATCCTTAGTAAATTTCCAACTGCCCCGGCCTTTTCTTGTGAGGTTAGGGCTATGGGGGGATGGCTTGGCCCCGGGGCCTGCCGTGGAGGTTCCTGGGGTTGGGGAGGGGGTGACTTGGGGGCCTCGGGCCCCGTTGGACCCCGCCGGAGTTTTCTACCCACAGTGCGGGGCTTGCGGTTACTGGGAGTGGGGTTTGTCCTTCCCCCCTCTGTGTACGAGAGCCCCTCCCTGAGTTCGGATCCTTGTTCCTTCGGGTCCATTCGGTTTCGTCCTATCGGTGGGCACTTTTCTTCGTTTCTACCCCCCTTTTCTCTGGGGCAAGACTTCTCCATCATGGAGGGGTCATGTTCCCCTATTATCGGGGTTTCTGCATGGCTTTTGGTCTCGGGTGCGACTGTGCCTTTCTGAGCCTTCGTGATATTGTTTGCTTCTGTGAGATCTCGGGCGTTCAGGAACGTCTTCGTTTCTTCCTGCATTATTGGAACGTCAGTTTTAGGCTTACCTCCAGTCCTTTTTGGACTCGTTGGTCCGTTTCCGTGCTTAGGTTTTTCGATACTGTCTCGTTCTTTTGTCATTATATCTTCTCTCCGTGCTCTGTCTAGGAACTGCTAATATTTTGCGATACACCTTTTTGGCACTCCTCCCCGCTGGACGGGGTTGTGCGGTTCGGACCTCATGCGTCCTGAGCATGCGCCATGGGAGTTTGTTTTGTTATGAAGGGTGTACACAAGTGCTGGTGTTCCGCATCCTTGTTCTCTCGGGTGATTCGCCTCTACCCTACTATTCTCCTGCAGGTGCGGCTCTGGCCTTGTTCCTCTGGCGGTGTTCCCGGACTCCTCTCAGCTACGTTGTGTCATGACACGTTCATGCCTACGTTCTGCAGGTGAGTTTATGCGGTCTGGCATCTCTTTCGGCTAGGCACTGGTTGGTGGCTACGAATTTATGGACATCAGACTAAGGTGACTGAAGAGGGCCTATTGGCCCATACGAGACAGTTCCTATTTATACCCATCCAGTCCTACTCATATGCATGATCATCACATGCTTGAGTCAATCATGGGACCCCACCTTCG